TTTGTCCTTTTTTCACAAAAGAAAAAAAACGAAAAAGTTCTTACGTTATCTGGAAGTAACACTTTGGAATATTATTTTATTAGAGAAAAAGTTAAGTCATCATTTAATTATTATTAATTGAAGTCGAAGATGAATCATCCGACAAAAATGATAATAATTACATCGAATAAAGATCTTATTGATGAATTATCTACAAAAAAAAGCGCAGATACTCAAATTATTAATTGCAATGGAAATAATTTAATTGATTTAATATCCAAAGACAATAATAGTTCATTTGATTTTAATTTTCTTGCTCAACTTTCTGAACTTGTTCGTTCTATTTTTCAAATTAAAAATCTATTTATATTTTAAAAGAAATATTTTATTTTAGAATTCAAATAATGATCAAATATATAAACATGTTCTTGATACTTCACAAGATAATCGATCAAAAATAGGCAAAACATCAAAGAAAACAACTAATCTTGTTTGTGTTATATGTAGTGATCATGCTATTGGATTTAATTATGATGTTTTAACATGTGCATCATGTAAAGCATTCTTTCGTCGTAATGCTCATCATCATCCAGTTTGAATTTTTTTTTTCATTTGAAAAACTTTTTTTTTCTAATTAAATTTTTAGGATAAACTTCGTTGTTTAACAGGTGAAAAGAAATGTTCAATTGATTATAGTTCATTTCGTAAATGTCAACGATGTCGATTAGTCAAATGTTTTATGTTAGGAATGAGAAGAGATTTTATTATTACTGATGAAGTAAAACGAAAACGTCGACAACGTATTGAAGAAAATCGACAACTTTCATATGAATATCAATCGACAAATGAAACTATTAATTCAATAAATGATGAACATCTTTCACAAACTATTCAAGAAATTGATCAGGTAAATTTTATATTTAAGCTCTTTCGTTTGAGATAAAAACTTTTTACATAATATTCTACTAAAAAAAATATGTAATTAACCTTCGCGTATATCTCCTCAACAGAACGAAGATATAATTTATCTAGAATTTTATTATTCAATAAAATAATTTCATATAATTTTTTATTTAGCTTTTGATGGATACAGATAATGATAATATAATATCACATGATACAAATGAAGGTAATATTATGGAAAGAATATCATCAAAAAGTCTTTCAATTGAAGATCGATCGGAGATTGAAAGTATTGAATTAAATTATTCATCTATATTTCATAAAGATAATATTACATCTTTTCCATTTAATATGTCTGATCGTACATCCGCTTTAATATCATGGTCTGAATTTACTAATCGAAATGTTTTAAAATTAATTGAATTTTTTCAACATATTGATGAATTTGAAAATTTAAATCTTGATGATAAATTTATTTTAATAAAATATAATCTTCTTTCATTACATTTAATTCAAAAATGTCTTAATTATAATGTATTAACTGGATCATTTACTAATATGAATGATGAAGATAGATTAAAACGTCGTGAATTTTTTAATTTATGTTATGGAACAAGTGGAATTAGAGAATCTTTTAAAAGTTTAATGAATTCATTTTCAATAATAACTGAACAAGATTCAACATTAATTAAACTTATTCTTATTATATTAATTTTTACAAAAGGTTTATCTATGAATGAAAATGAACCATTTTTAAAAGATACGCAAGCTGTTAATCGAGCACAATCTTATTATATAAGATTAACATGGAATTATTTAATTGATAAACAAGGTGAACAAAAAACAATTCAACAATTTATGAAATTATTAAGTGAAATAACACGAATTCAATTATTAAATATAAATTATCGACAATTTTTTCGTTCACAACTTCAATCAACAGATGCTTTAGAAAGATTTTCACCACTTATGAAATCTGTTTTAAATATTGTTTGATTTTATTTAAATTATCGAGAAAATAACTTTTTATCTTTTCAGATTTACAAAATTCTTTCTTTTTTCTACTTTTTAATAAAAAATTTAAAAGAAATTTAATTTTAAAATAAATACTCGAGATATAATCCTAATAAAATTTAATTTCTAATCAGATGATAATCATGGTTTTTATATTGTTAGGATAAATGATATCAAATAGAATTTTTGTTTAATAAATCGGTCATAGATGTCGTACATTAAAATGCAAGATTCAAATATCAGATCTTTTACACTATAATTTATATTTATTTTTTCAAATAACTTCGTTTAAAAACGTCGTTAAACATTAAATAACATCACACGAATATAATCAGTAGATTTACACCAGTAATCCGAATTAATCAATATTAACTGGTATCTTAGTATTACTATTGATTGTTTTCTTTAAAAATTAAATTGTAAAATATAAAATGTCACTAGAAGTATATTTAAAATCATTGCAATAAAATTTACGCGATCATATCAGTTTAGAAAAAAAAAATAATATAATAGTTAGAAATATTTAATTACAAATGGAGCATCGTATGTTATATTATTAATATATAGAAGAAAAACAAATATCATTCATATTTGGTTTGTCTTTACATAACTTCGTTTTTCTTTTCGGAATGATAATAAATATTTTAATAATTTTTGTACTTATCGATGACGAAAAACTGTCTGATGACTATTAGACGATGTTATGATATATTTGGATATAAACATACATATCATACCTTTAGACAAAATATTTTTCTTCTTTTCTATTGAATATTCTAGGCAATTATGGTTATAGCGCACCTATAGATCGTTTCGGGTGAATGAGAAAAAAAGGAAGTAAAAAAAATTTTTGAATCTCTTTCTTATAGAAATAAATAATATTGATCATGGCTGCTTCTCGAGAAATCGTTCTTAAAGAAGATGATATTATTGAAATAGGGTAAATTTAAAATGAAATTTTCCTTTCTAAATATTTATATTATTATTTTTCATATTAGATATTATGGTATACGTGTTTTTTCTTCTATTAAAGATTATCAAAAATTAGATTCAAATAAAAGTTTAGGTCAATTAGTATTTTTTCTTGGTTTATGTTTAGTTGTAATATCAGGTGTTGATTTAAGTAAATTGTCATGGACATTAACTCAAACTGAAGAATCTATTTGGCCAAGTACTGGAAAAGGTATATGGATTGGTTTCTTAGTAATGGCTGTTGGTGTTTTTACATTAATTGCTGTTCGTGAACAAACCCATTCCGCATTTTATATTTTACTTCCATATACAATAGTTGCAATTATACTTTGTTTCTTTGGTTTATTAACATCAATTGCTGTTCTTCAACGTTATACACAAGATCCACAATTATCTCAAAAAGAAAATCGAAATAAACAAGAAGGAATTCAATTTGCTCTTGCTGCTTTATTAATTGGATTATTTGCACTTACTTTTCTATTTTTATCATGTCTTTCATGTATGATTTGTTGGACAATACCTAATTTTTGTACACGATATCAAGGTAGAAATCCTCAACTAATTCTACAAAATCAACAACGTTTTCCGATAGGGATTCCTCTCGCATCACCACGAACTCCTCGTCAACGATTAATTCGAAACCATCGACGCCCTCGTTTTGCATCATATTCACCACGTAGCGGAACTTCTACTGTATAACAAATTCTATCATTTATATTTTCATTTAAAATTTTTCTTTATTTCATCAATGTTATAATAGATTGAATCTTATTTCATATCATTAATAAATTCTTAAAATTCATTTTTAAAATTATAAACAGAGAAAGAAAAAGTTGAATTCGATTTATTGAAAATAATTCCAAATATTTAATATTTGTAAAAATTGTTTAATGAATATTAAATGAAGAATGTAAGGAGAAATGGTTATATTTTTATTTAAAAATGTTTATTTTTCATATAAATAAAAAGAATGGATAGAAATTTTTTCTTGTAAATTGTTAATATGATGAAAATAAACTAAAATTTACTTTTCACATTGTTCTAAAACTTCTTTAATTTTAGCAAAATCTGGAACTTTTCCTGGATCAGCAAGTATTTCAGCATATTTGATTTTTCCTTGTTTATCAACAACAAATGCACTTCGTTTTGTAACACCTTTAAGACCAAATAATGGAAATTCATCATAAAGTGAATTATATTTTCTTGAAACATCTTTATTAAAATCAGATAATAAATCAAATGGAAGTTTTTGTTCTTCACGAAATTTTCCTAAAGTAAAAAGTGAATCAACAGATATTCCAACAATTGTTGCATTTAATTTTTGATATTTGCTAATATCATCACGAGCTGAACATAATTCTTGTGTACAAACACCAGTAAATGCTAATGGAAAAAATAATACAACAACATTTGATTTTGATGTTAAATCTTTAAGAGAAACTTCTTTTTGTTCAGTATTAAAAAGAGTAAATTCAGGTGCTTGTTGATCAACTTCGACTGACATTATTTGATGATAAGAATTGTTTAGAAAATATATCTAAAAAAAAGAATTATTTGCAACTTGGATTGGAAATTCAAATAAATATGTAAGCTAACGAGAGAGAGAGAGAAATCGTGAAAAAAAACTAATATATTATAATTATGTTCATTTCTTTCTCACATACTTCAGTGAAAACGATAGTAAATGTTTTTCATTATTAAACTACGAACGACGACAACGGGAAAGAAAAATAACAAAAATAATATACAGTAGACATGTGGCTTCATACTTTGTTTTTCTCTCGATTATAAACCAATGTGTGTAGACGACCGAAAAAAAAAAATAAGACGTGCATACGATAAATCTTGTCTCCTTTTTATACTCTATTGAGTCAGACGGATTTATTAACATAGAATCATTAGAATAAGAATAATACAGAACAAAAAATCATAAAATAGTTGATATTAAACAAGTGTTTATTTATGTTTAAATATCATTCTACATTCAAAATCAGACATTCATGAGAAAATAAGACTTCTCACATTTTGTTTTTCTATAGAAATTCTTTAGCTGTTGAAAATCAATATTTTTTTTCCAACTATAAATATCCACTCATGTTCATACACGTCATCAAGAAGTTTAAAGAAATTTCATGATAATTTTGTTTATTTATATTTCTAATATTGTCAGAAAAAATAAATTAATGTTACATTGAAAATCTCCAGTTTCAAGAAATAAATAAGGATTTATTTTATCCTAATCTCTCACATCATGATTATGGATGAAAGCTTTGAATTAGAAAATAAAATTAATCTCGAAAAAATATTTTTCCTATGTTTTTGCACAAAGATATCAACTACTGAAGGTAATTCAAAATCAGTGGTACAAATATCAGAATTCTTTATAGAAAGCTCTGAAAACTGTGTTTATATATAATCCGATAGAGAGAAAATAATGCTTTATTTATCTATGCTAATTGATCATACTTCAACAAATCCTATAATAATAAACATTCAATGAAATCTATTTCATTTGAAAATGTGCTAGTTATTTGTATCAATAATTTTTGAATAGAAAATGACAAAAAGGTGTGGTTTGCATTAACCAACTTTCAAAGTTTCGAAAAGTATAATTTTCTTTAAAAATGAATGTACATTTTTTTGTTAAATAAGTATAAATATTGAATAATTAAATTTAGATCAATATTGACAATTAAAAATGAAAATTGTGTTTATTATATTATAAATCATTTTATTGATATTGAACTTTTTTTTCTTGATTGATTTTCGATGAATCATATGGAAGTTTTTCATTATAAATTTGTGATTGATTTGAATATATTTTTTGTTTAATTAAATTATAAACATATTCAATATCATTATCATTCATTGTAATACCAATGAGAGGCCATTGATTTGCATCTAATAAAATATAATATTTTCTTCCTAATCGACTCATATCACAATGCCACCAAATAGGTGTTAATGCCATACCCCATAATTTATAATTCAAAAGAGAAATATCATCGGTTAAACGTAATTCACATAAACGAATATTATTATATTTGATTTTTTTATTACCAAATGGAAAATAATATAAATGAATAATTAAATAATCGGAATAACATGTAACAAATTCATTTGAAAATAAAGGAGTTTTACTATCGATAACACTTTTCATTATTACAAATTCTTATATCAGTTTACAACTGACTTTTTCTATACAATTTTATGTAGAATTTAAATAATGTCACATTTTATTTTTATCAGATAGCAAAAATGACAAACTGATATCATTTTCTGACGTCATTTTGATATGACTCAAAATAAATATAGATGATTTCTTTTTATGTAAAGCCTATGAAAAGAAAATATCATGATAGTTCGTAATCTATTTGCTCTTTACTATCTTTATATCAGAAGACAAGAAATATCTTTTCATTTTTATTATCAAGATTTTATATATAGTTTAATAAATTCATATACGACTAAATAAAATCTGAATCAATAAAACCTACGATGTGTACTGAAATTTTTGCGACATTTCTTATTTTGTATATATCTTGCCTTGAGAAAATGATAATATTTTATTTTTTTTACTTGAAAAGATGCAGGTCATACCTAGAAGACTATGTTTGACAATCATGAACAAAGTATTCTTTGTATAGATATCCACAGATTAAACCATGTGATAATATCATAATTATCTGTTTATTAAAGATTTCTAAGTAGAATTCATCTATTTTCTATTGAATAATCTTCAATATTTGAGAGATTTTTTTATTTCTAATAATATTTTTAATAGTTAAATTGATCTAATATATTATTGATATTTTTTATGGCGAAATAATTTTATGAAATAGGTATTAAATTTATTATAAAGCAAAGTTTGAATATATCGAAATGAATGATAAAGCGGCATCTTTTGTTAAATAGAATTTTTATCAAATCAAAAGTGTTTTGTCTTCTATCCATAATATCCTGATTTTATTTCATATTCATTTTGAAAAGAAATCTCTTAGTTATATAAAATATTTGAGATTGTATAAAAAAGAAATGTCATTATCCAATTTAATTCGTATACCTTTAGTCTTACCGAATGTTGATGTATTTACATTTGGAGAATCATCTCTTTTTGGTTATGATTCATTAAATCATTGTCTTATTGTTCATTCATTAATTGAAGGAAATCATTTAAATAATGATCAATCAATTCATCGTTTATATTTATCATCATCACCAACTTCATCTATTCGACAATTGATTTTAAATCCAGATGAAACAATACTTGCTCTTATTTCGGATAAAATAGCTTATCTTGTCTATTTACCACAATCAAATAATTCACCTTCAAAAGGTTTTCATTTAGAAAAATAATTAATTAATAAAATCTCTTTTTAAATTTAGGTTCTCGTCTTTGTCCAATAAATGTTGTTCCATTTCCACCATCAATAAATTCTACACAATTAAATAATTCTTTAATTGATTTTCTTTGGTTATCATCAATTCATTTTGTTATTGTTTATTCAATTTCATCATGTGACTGTCATCTTTATATTGTTCGACCATTAAAACATAATGAAATTAAATATATTCAAACATTTTCTGTTGGATCAATATCAAAAAAAGAAAAACATTCTGTAATATCAAATAAACGAATCTCTATTCATCAATCATCATCTATTATTAAATTAGATTTAGCTAAAAGAAAACAAGAAGATTTTCTATTACTTCTTATTTTTGCTATTCAAGCTGATGGAAATATTTTTATTATGGAAATTGATCAAAATCAATTATTAAATTATAGGTAAATTTATCTAAAATTGATTTACTAAAACTCATTCGATTTCAGAATATAACAATCTTGTTAATCAGTTCTATCAAATAGAAGTAAAAATAAACAGGATACGGATGTGGATGAAAGTGTTAATGAATAATAGATCCCTATACCTTCGAATAATTCTTTATTCTTATAAATATATTTTTAGTGAAAAACGTTTATCATCGGAATTTCTTGGTCCAATTCGTATCTATCCATCAACATATGATAATTATGGTTCTGATTATAGTCATTCAAATATTCTTTGTTTATCTTGTTCACAATTTCCCTTAGTTATATTTACAAATGGTAAATGTCAAATTAATCAATGTATTGTACTTAATCCATCAATAAATGAATATTATTTATTTACAATTGATTTAATAAATTTACCTAAAATTGATAATAATAATCCTCAAATAATTAAATCAATGATTAATAATAAACTTAATTCAAATATTTATTATATTTATGATTCATTATCAAATGTTTATTCAATTGAAATCTCATGGATTAATCAAATTGAACAACAACAAAAACAAATTCAATCAACAAATATTCAACATATTATTAAATCAAATAATTTTATTCAACAATTTGGTTTAATTCAAACAAATAATAAAGGACAATTCCTAGCAATTCTAACTAAAACACAAAAAAATGATCAACAAAAGGTTTTTTATTAAGAAATTTATTTGAAAAAAAACAAGAATAATTTCTATTTAGGAATTAATACTTCTACGTCCAAATTCTTTATCTTGTGAATGTGTAACACCAATTAAATCTCATTGTTTAACTGAATCAATAAAATTCCATCAATCAAATTTATCATCAGAATTTCTTAATCGTATTCGAACAATTTTAACACGTGATCAATCAATACCACATTTAACAATTTCATCATCATCACAACAAAATATTTCAAATGAAGAGTTTCAAAATAATCTTATTAAATTTATAAGATTATTTTCTGAAGAATATCTTGATAAACAAGAAAAAGTTCGAATAGAATTAGAAAATAAACAACGTTATTTATATGATTTTCAACAAACTCAACTTATTGCTAAACAAGAACTTGATATGAAATTCCAACAAATACAAATAACAATGCAAAAATTAAATCAACAATATCAACAAGTAATTTTATATTATATTCAAATATAGAAATTATTTTTTTTATAAAAAAAATAGGAATATGCTCGTCGAAAGCGTTTATCATCGAATGTTCATGATCATTTATCTATAATTGAACAATGTATACCTGTTGTATCTGATACAGAAATATTAATGCAGCGACAATTAGAAAAATATCAAGTACAAATAAATTCTCTTCAAGAAAAACTTTTACTTCTTAAAAAATTTATTCAACAACAACAATTCTTTACTAATAATCAACAACAAATTGATCAAAAATCAATGATAGATATTCATAAGTTTGTTGAATATTTCAGAGATCAAATTGATACAATGAAACAAAAATTACAACCTATTGATTAGAGAAATTAAACATTCATTTTGTTATATTTGTTTGATAGATTTTATATCAGAAATACAGATGATTAAAACAGAAAAAAATTTAAGATTTTTTTTAATTATTTCAAATATTTTCTTTCACTATTTACAAAAGAATGTTTTCAACTATCAAATCATTCTTTTAATGAAACTTACGAAGTTACACGCCATCGACTTCACTGGCTCCGATTAGAAATATTAACAATTCTCTCAGGTTTTTATAGAGTGATTTTCCACAATACTAAAATTTTTATGAAATTTTGTTTTTGGTCTGTGCAGATTATGCGTCTTATTTGTAATATGATCCTTCTAGAATGGCCAGTACACTTTTGACGGATAAATATAGATAAAAAAACCAAGTGTCTGCGGCAACAAATATAAAAAATCAAATGTTATATGTAATCGAAGATAGAAGCTCGTGTTTGATTCTATACAGGGCTGTATAGTAAAAGCAGATGCAAGTATTTCATGTGGCATTGTACAGATAATGACAACTATTGGTGGAATAAAAAAGTCTTTGTGTTTTTTTAACTGTTGCCACATGATTCTAATCCATTGAATTCTTTCTGCATCAGTCAAATTAATTTTATGTTGTATAATATGACGCAGAGTGAAGAAGATTGAGAGAACATGTAAACACCATGGTATAACTACATGAATATAAATACTAGTAATGATTTCATCGACTACTTCCCAGTTTGACTGCAATTTACCAAATCCACACAGATATAATGTCGATACAACTGGATGTGATGTAGTTTGTGCAGCGATGAACCATGTTATACTTGCTGCTATCGTTAAAACTAGTAGCATCAATGACGTTATTATTGCGCATCTACGTGAACGAAAGATACTAAAATTAAAACATTGAATTAATACTCGTTCAACTGATACAAATGCAGCACTCCATAAACATATAAATTGTGTACACTCTGAAATGCCCATACTCAAGCGACAATGAAATAAACTATGTCGATCTAATTCTTCATTGAAATACAATGTAAGAATGATTCGTATATAGAATGTACTGATTGCAATTAGACTAGCCAGACTAAAAAGTAACAAATAAATTCCACATGATGTAATTCGAATTTTTTTTCGTAATAATATTCCGATCATTAACGAATTGCAAACGATAGACATTGTAAATTGTATTGTAACTAACAATACATAAATTACTTCTAATGCCAATTGTCTCTGTGATGACGTCTGCCGATGTATATCGTTTGATATTGAACCAGCCATTGAATAGCGTAGGCAGAGAGTTGACTTAGATTCATTACATGTAATAATAATTGTAGTGTTGTTAAACATTCTTCTCGATTTTATGAGTAAGAAAATATATTCACACATACAATATTGACATTAAAATTCGATAATTTACTTATATAATCGAAGAACGAAAAAAGTAAAATTAGAAAAGAAATCATTTCCTTCTGCGAACGTGTGCGAGTTTCTATGCTTTTATCTTTACGTCGAATCGACTCATATATGAATCAGAGATGTGCGAAGCTAAAAATTGTCATGTCCTGCGGGCCCCGCCCTAGCATGTGCATCATTTCTCACTTGCACATATCTGTGGAACAGTTATTTGGATTACCGAACACGCCTCCATATAAAACTTTTGCGCTGCCCTGTCTGTCAACGTTCAACCTACGAAATTATTTGTGTGAAACTTGCATGACCCTGAGGTATATTTTTTTGCACATAGTTCAATCTTAAAAATATTTATCTGTTTAAAATGCTCTCTCTTTAGCAGTATTTCGTAATAGATATGCATAAAAAACTTTTGAGTAGGTTTAAATCATTTATTGTTTAATAAAAAAGAAATACTGTGTATTGAATAAAAAAAGTAATTAATTAATTAATTTACATGAGATATTTTATCTGTGCAGTTCAACAATTTTTACAATCATTCAAAATGAATACCAACGATAAACTGATAGATGAAACAAATTCAAAGTTCAGTTATATTTCTCTTGACAACTTTAATTTTAACACCAGCATTAAACTAATCGTGAAGACTATCGGTTATAAGGTACACCATTGTCTTCTATTTGTTAGTGGTCATTGAAGATCATACTTCTTTTGATTTTATGGCGATTAAAATCTTTTATGAATCATAAAAGTAATTAAAAGAATAGATGTATCATCCTATCGAAACCTATCAACAAAAGCGTAGATGGGTGTGGATTTGAGTATTATATTCATCACACCCGCACTCTCAATCCAAGTAAATTCATACAAAATCTTCATTGTTTGACAAAATGCAAAGAATATTTGAGAGTTAATAAATATATTCTAGAATAAACATAAATAGTAAAAAAAGAAAAAAAAATTTTATTGATAAAGTTGTAGAAGCCATTTTTTTCTTTTGAGTGCTTCTAATTGTTGTGTATTTTCTTTAACTTCTGGATGATCATGTGGTACAGATTTAAGTAATTGTTGAACAGATTTTTCTGCACAATCAATCGCTTCATCTAATTGATCTAATTTTGCATAAGCAGTTGATAAATTAAAATAAGAAACAGATATTTTATGATCATTTTCAGGAAGATATTTCAGTTCTAATTCAAGTGCTTTTTGATAAAATGGAAGTGCTTCAATTGGTTTATCCATTTTCCAATAAATCGATGCAATTCTATCATAAATCATTGCAATTGATAATGATTCTTGATAATTAGTTGATTGTTGAAGAATTTGAAGAGAACGTTTATAATTAATTAAAGCTTGATTATATTTTCCTTGATCAAGATAAACAGCTCCAATATTTCCTGAATATGTTGCTATTGCTTCAATATCAGGTGCTGAAGATTTTAATTGACATTGAAGAGCTTTTTTATGATAAATAATAGCTTGATCATGTTGATCATCTTGATAAAACATACTTCCAATATTATTATATGTTGCTGAAAGTATTTGATTATCTTGTGGAATAAAAGATAAGAAAATTTTTAATGATTCTTCAAATTGAAAACGTGCAGCTCGATAATTTTTATTTTTATTATCCATTGAACCAAGTAAATGATGAAGTGCAGCTAATGATGCTAATAATGTTGGATTAGTTTTTAATGATTCATCTTTAAATAATAAACGTGCAAAATAATCAGCATGACAATAATCATTATTTAATAATAAAAGTTTTCCTAACTGAATTATTATTATTGGATTTTCAATTTGTATACGAAGATCATTTGTTAATTCATACAATTGTTCATCATCTTTATTTATATTTATTAAATTAATAATCCAACAATCATTCATTTCTTCAATTGATTTAATTCGATAAATATTTTGAAAAGGAAGAAAAATTTCTCCATCATTTGGAATATCAATTGTTGTTTCAATTTGAAAAAGAATTGTTTTCATATTAGTTTTATATTGAAATAAATTAGGTTTATTAATATTACAAATAAGATAATTATTAAATGAAATTAATTCATTTGAACAATTTTTATCTTGAAATTTTTCAAAATCATTTTCAGATAAATAATCAATTCGATAAACAATTTTTAAATCATTTGTTTCTTTTATTTCTGAATTAAGTGATTGAATAAACCATCGAATTTTAAATAAAATATCAATTTCTTTTGTAGATAAAGCACGATTAAGCATTTTACGAATAAAACTTGTTTTTTTAAACCATAAAATCGAAGTTTCTTTTCGAGAATTTTCTTCATATTGATTAATTAAATTTAATTCATTTGAATTATTTTTATAATGTAAACGAGCAAAATCAAGAAAATCTTTTTTTAAATTTCCTTCATTATCATTTTTAAGTAAAGTTTCTTTTAATAATTGTGTATAACAAAATGATTGATTTGATGAACTAAATTCAATTGAAAGACAATTATTTTCTATTGAACATTCTTCTTTTATTTCTTCACATATCATTTCGATATGTGAAAAATATCCACGAATATTTAAATGATTATTATTATTGTTTATTGAATTATTTGAAATAATATAAATTGAATAAAAACTTGATAAATCTTGAATTAATTCAATAAATAAATCATTTGTAATTAAGATTACTTTTTCATATTTTAATGTATTTAAAAATAAATTTAATTCTTTTATATTATCAAATATTTTAATTAAATTTACTATTGAATTAAGAACATTCAATTCATCTTTAATACCAAATAAAATAATAACATAATTTTCAACATTTCCTTCATATCGATCTGGTAATGGTTCATGAATTTCTATTTGACGAACACCTTCAACAAAATAAATAAATATTAAGTTTAATAAATTTATTTCAATTTAGAAACAAACTATGACGAAATAGTGAAAATAAGGATTCAAAAAGTCCTCCATTATTATTATCTGTTCGTTGAATTAACATTCGATTAAATTCATTTATAGAATTATCTGCATTTTCAGCATTTGAACTATCTGTAATAGAAAATAAAACAACAATTAATATTAAATTAATCAATACTTTTCATTAAACATTCGTATATCAACTAGATTAACTCGTAAGAATCATCTGAAAACTTTGTTTCTAATATTTCTCAATTAAACATTAGATTTTCCTATTAGAAAACGAATCAAAAGTCACTTTACAGAGCATGTTTTATTTTAGTGTCTCTTTTCATCCTAAAGACAAATATTTAATTAAGTGTGATGTTTTTAAATTACCATTATTTTGATTAATATCAGGTTGTTCAATTTGATTTTCTTCTTGAACTAATGTATCTCCTATTGTATTCATTGATGATAATGATGATATCATTTCATTTTCTTTTGTTGAATTTTCTTCAAATTATTTTTCTAATGAGAAAAATTTAGAAATAAATTCCGTTTTAACATACCATGATGATCTTGTGTTCCATCATTTGACTATAAATTTCGTTAAATCTTATTAAATCTCAATGAAATAAAATAAAAACATACATTATTTGATTGAATAATATGATTCGTATCATCTTTTTCTATTTGTTCATCATCAGTACTTGTTCTTTCATTTGATTGTGATCTTTGTCTATTTCCAAAAGATTGATGATTAGTTAAAAGTCTTTTCGAAGAATAGAAATTCTAACAAAAAGAAAAAATAAATCATAAAAAAGTTTTTAATTTTCTACTTGTTCATTTTCTTTCTTTTCATATCGTTGACATCTAAGAAATAAAATAAAATAAAAAATTCTTTTTTTGTTCAAATTACTTTTGACATGGAATAGATTTTTCTACATTTTCAATAAGAAATGATTGATTAATATGAAAACCACCTTGATGATATTTATATTCACAACAAGTTATTAAATGTCCTTTAATATGTCCATTTATATATAATTTTATATCAAATGGATATTGAGCAAGACGTTGAGATTTAAATGAAAATGTATCTTATTGAAAAAAAGATTATGTATTAAATGGAATATATATAACTTACCACCTTTTTTTAAATAACCTTTATAAACAATATTTCTTTGATCATTCGGATTTTGTTTTTGTTTTATTATAATTTCATCGATTTTAATTGATGATGAAAGATTTTTTTTATAAATCATTCTTACTTGGCATGCTTGAGATATATTAATTTCAGGTGAATAAATATCATTTCTCTAAATTTCAATATAAAACTAATATTGATTATTTTCTATAATTACCTGTAAATCATTATCAAATACATTCCTATCAAATTTTCTTCTATGCTAAAAAAATACAATTAATTTTTGTTAAATTATTCTTTTTCTTAACAAATCAAACCTTTCGAAAAGATGAATTTCGTTTATTTTGTAAACGATTAATATTTGAATAAATTATCTTTAAGTATTAAATTAATATAAATAAGATAAGAAACAATAATATATACTTCATCTTCAGACGATGTGTCATCATATTTAGATAAGAAATCTTTACAAATACATCGACATTGTTGCAAATTTAATAATCTGAAACAAAATTCAGATTTATTTTAACGAAAAAGAAAAATTTATTTTCAATTATTTTTACTTTGCTAAAGTTTCTTGATAAATATCATTTCTTTGTCGTTTATTTCTTGAATAAGATAGATATTCACGTTCACGATTCATCTTTGTTTTTTTATATAAAATACATAAATTTGAAATTGAATTAGAAATACAAGGATCTCTAGACATTAATCTTCTTAATAATTATTATTCGATAATGATTAAATTAAAAAACGAATCTTCAAAATATACAGACTCGGATGTAGAAAATGAATGAGTCGTTATCGTAATGTAGAAATAAAAAAAAAGAAAATCGTTGGTTGGTAAAAAAAACACGGTGTGTATGTCTATATATATATATATTTATGATGAATGAATTAAAGAAAAAGAAGAGAAAAATAAGTATGCAAACATGTGTTGTTCTTTTTTTTAAAAACATTTTTTAATTTAACATTTTTCATAAGACATTATATTAACCACAAATAACAAAAACTCTTTTTCAATAAAAATAAATTTTTTAAATAGGAATTAAAAGAATAATAATATTAAAACATTTTTAATGAGTGAAAAACATTATTTATTATTCATGAATACTAACAAATGTCAGTTTACTCGAGTTTCAAAACGAAAAATCTTCAAGTTTTTTAACTCAGTCAACATTTTTCAATCTTATTGTTGTTTAGAAGAACTATTTATTCAATAAATATTTTTATATTAATTGAACATTTATTTTAAAAATGTTTTAACTCTCAACTGTATAATTATACTAACAAAATCTATACTAAAATGTAATCTATAAGTAACAAACTCTCAAGGATACTCATTAATGGTTAACATCATATGATATTATGCCGCATGAATTTTTCATTAAAATAACGAGAAAGATAGATCACGTGTTACAGTTTTTGTAGTGATGTAATATAAACTTTGATGACACGTGGATAATTCTCATGAAAATAAAACATGTTTATATATTTTATCAGAATATTGATATCGATCAGTAATAAACTCTATACTATGATAATGTCAAGTGAGAGTACATATTATTTCGTACTTTTAAACTATTGAATTTATTCTTAAAGAAGAATTATTTTAGTTCATAATAGAATAATTGTATTGTGCTAAACTCTATGAATAGATTGAGCGAGTTTGTTTTAATTATAGTTAGTTCTCGAAATGATCAAAGTACTTTTTTTTTTATTGTTTGGTTGATTTAATTGATAGTTTACATTTATTCGTTCGATGAATTCATCATATTGAATCTACACAAGTTTATTTATTAATAAATCAAATAATTACATTGAGTCAATCATTTTCATGTTTTATTCATCGATTGTTGACTAAATATTAATGGATAACATTTCATGACACTCTATTGATTTGCCCGAAGTAAAAAAAAAAGAAGAAGATGATTATCATCTATATGTTGATTTGTATTTTTCTATGATAAAAATAAATGTAATTATCATTCTCATATACTATATAACGGGCGGATCGAAAGTTTTAAGACAAAATACTTGTTTATTTTTTGCCTGCTTGAAAGTATTTCAAATTTCTATCACTCTCATTTTTGCAAAATTGATTTTTTGACGAAACGACGTTTTACATAGAAAGTAGTGCTCGAGAAAATACTATGGCTTAGTTCGCTATCACATTTTGTAACGATTTGTCCGTTCTACAAACTTACTCACCCGTTAATAGAAATGATTAGAAAAAAAAGAAGATATTCATGTGATTTACATCAAATTTTTATATTTAAATAATAAGTATTTCTGAATTTTAAAAAAATACAACGAATTATTCCAAGTTAACATTAATATATATATATTTAAAAAAAACATAAATAAAATCCATCATATTCAATTTCATTTTCTTATAAACACATAAGATTTCCATATAATAATCGAAATCTAAAGATTCAATTTGTTCCATACATTGTTTTTTTTTTCGTTGGATCTATTTGTTTATTGTTCAATTATCATATATTAAACAATCTATTCTTGATTTGTTTATTAATAATTCTAGTTTAAAATAAATTCATAGATTTGTCATCGTTGATCATTTGTTTCATTAATATGAATAGAAATTCGTTGATTTTTATTTGATTTTTGTTCATAATGACTAATTTTTTTATTTATATGAGAATTTTCTTTGGGTAAATTTTGTAATGATCTTCTTCTTTGATTTAAATTACAATTATATGTTGATCGATCACAAAACCATAGATGTCGAAGAACTTTTGCAAAACTTTGTCGAAATTTCGAACAAAATATCGCATAAACAATTGGATTTGATGCTGAACTAATTGTTATTAAAAGCATTGTGAATGCAATGAAATATGGTGTTTGAATAAATTTAGGAAGAGGATGAATTGCATTTGTATCAAATAAAATAAATATAAGAACTTGTGGACTAAATGATACAAAATAAATGAGAACAACAGTAAATAACATTTTAATAACACCTCGACGAGATTTTAATGTATTATAACAACCACCTTTTTGATGATAATAATCACCACCACCTTTTTTCTTATGTTTTGATTTTAATAATGAAGAATTATTTTGTACAGAAAGATATTTCGAATATGAAGGATTATTTTCTTGACAATAAGTATTTTTACGACCATTCGATGAAGGTATATAAGATTCAGCTATTGTTATTCTACTACCCATATTTTCATCATTATCAATATAATCATCTTCATCATCCATATCATTCTACAACAACAACAACAAATCCATAATTAATTGAGAAAAAAAAGAGAATCATACCTGTGTTCGTTGATTATTTCTTAATTGATTTAAATTAAATGATGTTTGCAGTGTATCATCAACATGAAATAATTGTGTTGCTATTCTAGTATAACAATAAATTTGTAATAAAAGTGGAATAAAATAAAAAATTGTTGATTCAATTGATTTATGAATAATATATCCACGTTGATTTAAATGAAGATTTTTTTGTGAATATTCTAAAGAACATGAACGATGTGATGGTGATCTTGATACAATACGTAAATAAATAAGATTTGGTGATGCACATAATAAAGAAAAAAACCAAACAAAAAATGTTATTTGAGCAACATGTTTTTCTTCACGTAAAAATTTTGAACGTAATGGATAAACAATACCAATAAATCTTTCAATTGTAACTGCACACATTGTTAAAACAGATGCATATTGAGCTAAGACAAGAATTGATCGAATTAATTTACAAGCTATTTCATTTAATATCCAATTTCCATTTGTTGATGAAACAAATTGAATTAAATCAGGAATATTTAATAATAAAATTATTAAATCACAACAAGCAACATGAACAATAAGACGATTTGTTAATGATCGTCTCATACGTGAATCGATTTGAACTGATATTATTACTAATAAATTACCCAATACACCAATTATTGCAATTAAAAGAAATAAAATTGTTAATATAAAATTTATTTTTATATTGATCGACAAACGAATATTATCTTCACTTTTATTCATTATTTCATTTTTAAAAAACTGTTGTTTATCTACAAAATAAATAAGCAAATTAAAATATAGAAACCTACGCATTCTTACTTAGTATGTATCATTCAAGAGATTTTTAATAGAAACTTTTTATGAAAGAAAGAAAGAATTCTTTGTACACGTCATAATTGTTAATTCTTAATTCTATTATAAATTTATCAATGCCTTTAAAATATGTCTTAGACTTTTGTATATTAAGAAATAAAGAAGAAAAAAAAGGTCATTTATTAATATATTATTCATCAGAATCAATAAAATATAGATATCTAGATAGAATAATCTTATTCTTTACTATTACAAAATGCAAAAGAATAGAAAAAGAATTCTGTTCGTTTCTAACTAGATTAGATTTACTCGTAGAAAATATCGATACTTATTGACGTTATACGTACTAATTTCTCTAAGTGTCTACGGTCATTGAGTTAATGTACTTGTTGACTAATATAGTGGATCTATAATCCTACATATTTTTTTTTCTTCTCTTTCCAACAAAGAAAAGAAGAAAAGAAGAAAAAAAGAAAGAAAAGCTTATGATTCTAAAATCTTGTGATAATCATATAGAAGATTAAGAAGAAAATAAATCATTGATTCATCTACAAAATAATAATCATTAAAACCCAATGAATAGATGAAGATAATTCTTCTTAGATAGTTCCAGACTAAAAGAAAAAAAGAAAGACATATGTTAAGAATTACTATTTTATATTAGGAATATCGTACAACTTACTTTTACTAATACATTTCTTAATTTTATCTCAATATATCACTATATTATATAAAATCTAATGATCTCTTTAATTTCAAATAATTATTTCAAAATTATATTAGATTTTATTTCATTTCTTTACAATATTATTTTACAATTAGAATAGAAAAATAATATTTTTCTGTTATAATTGTATCCTAAATATTGAAATTAATTGATTCTCCTCGCTGAAAAATTTGATACTTCTTCTATATATGTATATTAGACTAATTAATAAGAAATGCAATGAAAATATTATTGTATAACTCATTGAATTTTCTCTAATTGAATCTATTTGTCATATTAATAGATTGATTTTAGTACATTTTCTCATAATAAGTATAACATAAGAATAATATTCTATGACCCTGTCGAAACTATCATATTCTTTGTCATTTTATATATACAAAAATAAAAATAATAGATAACAATAAATCATATAAGAGCCTCTTTTTTTCCTTCTATCAAACACAATAACAATAACAAAAAGAAGTATCATCATTCCTTTGAACATTTTAATAATTTTTGTGATTCTCAAAAAATTTTCGCATAAATTACATTTAAAGATTTATGAAAAACAAAGAAAGAGAAATGTGTCATTACCATTTTGTTTGTAGTGTTGATTGTTATCTTGATATATGTATATTTTATTTACTTATTGATTATTCAATCTAAAGATGTTAATAAAAAGGTTGAAGAAGAAAGTCATTAATAAAACATTTTCTAAACATTAATTAATCTTATTCTATAGAAAAAGAAAAAAAGGTAAATAAAAGCATTAACTTACTTTCAAAGAAATAAGATGCTTACGCCTAACTTTCTTTTTTTTTTTTGATGAAATAAGAAGTGTTTTCTATTTGACATTATTCCTCCTAGGAGATTTTTCTTGAACAAAAAAGAAAATTGAAATAAATATTAAACATGACAATGACAATCTAGTCTTCCTCCTATGCCTATTGATGCCTACTCTTACACGCTGTTGTTTTTTCTTTATTGATATACTTTTGTATTATCCAAGATTGATTTCACGTCGTCTTTTGTCTTTTGTCTTTCTTCTATTGACTATTTAGGAGACAAATGTCATCGAAGTCAATAATCATTGTAGAAAATATTTATAGAGATAAATATTTAGAGAGAAGAAAAAAAGAAGAGCAATGCTTGATTTCAGTTGTATTAATAATAAATGTGATCAATATGGATAGAATGACATGAAAACAACGAAAGATCAAATTATTAACTGATAGAAACAGATGCTATCTATAATGGAATCTACAAAATAGAAGAGCAATAATAGCTGAAAGACAAACGCCCTCCTCTCTTCTTCTTTTTTTTCTTACTTTCACTCACAAGAAGAAGAAGAAGAAAAAAAGGAAAAAAGAGAAAGAGAGAAAAAAAACGTCTGAACAAATAAATATTTATATATTTCGATAACAATTTAGTGATAAAATCAGAAAACTAAAAAGATTCATTTAATGATTGGAATTGAAGATAAGCAGTTTTGTTTGTCATTATTATTCATCCTATGTTTTTATTGTTTACAATTCTCGAAATCGTAAGATATTATTTATATTTTATATTTTAGTTAAATGTTCGCGCGAATTCTATTCATGTTTATATGCAAAAATATCATTAAAAGACCATCCAAGCGTGTAAATATGTCGTTAGACACTATCCAGGCGTAAAAATATTATTTAAATAATGATTATTTTCTTTTTTTTTTCTTTTCACTATCAACAAATCATATCTAATATATTTCATTAATCTAATAAATCTTCACAAAATAAAATTCTAATTTATGACTATGTCGAAAAAACAAATTTAATAAATAAATCAATAAAGATTTATGTTTAGATCAATTTTCTATATTAAATTTATAATATAAAGTATCATGAAATTTATTATTAATAAACAAAACAAGGAAAATATTACAAAAGAAAGATGAAATCATATAAAAGAGAGAATAATAACAGTATTTCTTTCTATATAGTATTCATGTTGAATATGTTTAAAGAACATCGCTAGGAATATATTCAATCAACAATAATAGGAAATATCAAAAAGAGTAACGTTAGATTTTGTTACATATCAGAAAATTTACTATCTTTCTTTCTTTTTTTGTATTGTCGGACGTTATAATAAGAAACCTATTGTATGTATGAAGTAAGTGAAATTGATATGGATTAGATTGGTCTTTGAAAAATGAAATTGTTTTTTGAAATAAATACTTTATCTTTATACGTACTTGAAAATAATTATATTTTTTTGTCGTCTTGTAACTTAACACGATTTTTATTGAATTTATTCATATTGATTTGTGAGGAGCTTAATTTTCCATATAAATATAAACGGTATAAAATCTCCATATCTCTTTTGTATAGTATCAAAATAGCTTTTCATGGAGATATTTATAATCACGAAATTTATTAATAAAAAATGTTTTTATCTTTCTATATTCTACTATAAAAATCGTATTTCTTATATTACTCTATTGATAATTGAAATTTTGTAGTAGAATATGAATTTGTGCGGTAAGAATTGTATCTTATTATAATATTAAGTTTTTTTCTGCTAGTATAAAAAGAATCGAATAGAATGTATTCCTATATCTTATAATATATTTCGATTATAGTATATTTGTTATTTAAATAGTCAATACTAAAATAATCAATCTATTAGATATGTAAGTAGTAATGAAAAATCGAGAATTTAATAATAGATGATAGAAAATATTCTTTTCTTTATCGACTTATTTTTTATTCTATGATTTTTCGCTACTTCTTCATCTCATATTATCACTTTTATAATGAATAACTTCCTGCACTTCCATCTTTTTTATTCATTCACGCTAAACTGAGTGTAAAGTAAAGAGAAAAAAGCAAAAATTGCGTATATGTATATCGTAAGAAAAAACAATGAGTAAAAGTAAAGATGTGAGTAACTTTTCTTAGCCAATATTACTGATATTCACGTTTTAATTATTTTTGACAAATAAAAATCCTGTTCCAAGTGCAAACAGGAAAGTTACATGTCTGGATATGATATGGAAAAATTGCTCACTACATGACAGATGTAAAAAATATGTTAGGAATCTCAATAACTTCAAGAAAAGAAATGCAGGTACATCACAAAATTTTATAGACAGATCGTTCGTGTTAATGATTATTTACAGATATATATGATAGAAAAAATCAAGGCCATACCTGACGATCTTATACAAATGCTGTGTACAATCAATGCAGTTTCTTGATAGTTGTAAGCGGTGATTTTTTTTATGATGAGTGTTTGAGATGATCGTAATAGACAATAAAATACTGTATATAATGGCTGTAAACAGTTCTTATAGAAGTTTATCATTTTTCATCGTTAAAAATCAGTATACCACCAGTTACAGTCGGTCGTGATTGATCTAGGGAAGAGAAAAAGAAAAAATATTTATATGTATATCGTACCACGAGATGAGGAAAATTAATATATGACAGAATGAGTAAAAGTAAAAATGACAACAGCTGACTATTATATTTCCCAACAAAGCAGAAATAAGCAAAAATTTCATTCATTTTATAATTATTTTCTTTTTATTAATTTTTCGATTATAGTCAGCTGTTAGGAAAACTTTCTATTCTAGTTTTCAAATTTATTTTCACATTTAATTAATTCACAACTACAATTATTTTAAATTTTTATTCATCAATTTTCTTCTATAAAAATAAATATTCAAAAATTCGTTTATTGATTTAGTTTTTTAGAAATCTCTTCGAAAATTATTTTTCCCATTTGATCATAACCAGCAGCTTTCAAATGAACAAGATCATCCCAAATAGCATTTCTTTGATTAATGTCTTTGATACTATGATATGGAATATTTTTATCAAGATCAATAAGACAAATTCTTGTTTTATCTTCATAAGTCTCAGCAAAATTTCTAATCATTGTATTTAATGTTTCTCTTTCTTTATCTTGTCTATGTTCTGGTGAATTATGAGCATTTTCTATAACAGTCATAACAGCTAATTTTGTATTTTGATTTGTATTTTCAAGAACCATATTATACATTAATTTTAAGCCTTGATTAAATATATCTACACCTTTTTTATTATAACTTAAATCATTCGCTCCACCTAATATAATTATCCAATCATAATATGATTTATCTTTATTTGATAAGAGTTTTTCAAGTCTTTTAACCATTGATGGAACAACATGATCACCACAATGACCTTGTTGATCAACAGTTATTGGAATATTCAGAGATGAAAATAAATTTGTTAGTTGAATCGAATATGGATGAAAAGATAAACCATAATTAGTAAAACCAGCAGTTAATGAATCACCAATTGCAAGAAAACGAAGAGATGATAAAGATTGCATTTTACTGTTAAATAATAATGAAATAAATATTATATACAATAATGTATTACACTATTTGTATGTACACAAAAGACAGACGTTTGTGTCATAAGATAATGAATCATTCAATATTAACCTTGTATAATCGGATAAATAAAATATTCGTTTCTGTCACGTGTCATATATAAAAAAAAAGAAGAAGAAAATCCCATACGATAATTTATTGGTTGAATATAAATTTATCTACATTATTGATCATATTGATATTTACATGAACATATGAAGTTCTTAATAACTATATATCAATAATTGATAGATATAGATAAAATAATGTGATTTATGTGTAATATAGTTGTATTTGTTGCAATCAAAAAGAGAGAAATAAAAATTTTATTATGGTAATTTAATAATACTAATAAATCTTATTTTATTAATTTAAGTTTTAAATCTTTCTGTTAAAATGATTTACTATGTTTGAAAAATAAAAATATTAAAACTATCACAATGTCATCAAATGTAGAGAATAGCAAGAGTTTTATTTTTCTTCGAATTCATGAAACTTTTGAAAATGTTCTCTGATTTCTAGTCAAGATTTAGATCTCTCCAAGATATAATTACATAAGAAAATGTATCTAATATCCAAACAAATCGATTTCAATGAAAGTGACTAGAAAAAAATATCATACAATGGTTTTAAAATAAAAGTTGTAGTATTTATTATGGATAAGGTTATTTTATGTACATTTTTCTTCTTCGACACCTACAAAAGTTATATGACATAAATTGTAAATCATATGTAGAGGATCATTTTCGAATATTTTCTTTTTAGTAAATATTTAATTCATTTTTACTCATCGATTAAATAATTCAAATTCTTAGTTATATTCTATGATATATTCATACGTATGATGTGTTGAACAAGGAAGTTGCATTTTAGAAAGAGACGTTCTTCTATTAATGTATATCGATTGACAATTTCAATATTATTCTCATAAGATTTCAATGTTGTACATTCAAGATATCTTGAGTGTGTGAAGGTGTATGTTAATTTATAAAAGTATCGACACGTACTTCATCATTCTATTAAACAGATTTAAAAAGCTTTGTATTACTATTTATCACTGATCTTGATCATAAATATAATATATTTGTTTATCATTGATCATAGGTATTATGTTTGACCTAGAAAAACATTTCATCCATCAAAACTTTGTTTTCAAAATGTGTAAGTGCATTTCTCAAAAAAACAATTTTAATAAGATGTTATCTTGTCTTACTTTTTAATTGGAATATCTTGAAGTAATTATTTCCTGTTAGTTTTTTTTAATACAATAATATCGTATCAGAGGAATTCAGCTAACTAATAATACTATAATGGGTTTTAAAAAAAAATAAACAATCATAATAAATATATATGAGAGTATAGAATAGAATTCCGATTAATCTCTTTCTAGAAAATATTTCAATTCTGAAAACGTATCGAATTGAAAATCGAAACTTGAATTCGTATAGACATTCTTCAAATAACATTTTCTTACATTACCATGTAGAGATGCTTCATAATAAAGTATACAATAAAATATAAATGCATAAATATGAAAACAAAATTATTTGTAGATAATAGACACAAGATTCTCTTTGACAAATATATTATATCAATAAATGTGATCTGTTAAAACGGATGTTTTTTTTACAGTATGACATTTAAGAATATAAATATGCTATTTTTGTTCTATGAAAGTTCCTAAATAGTGTAATTATTAAGATTCAAAATATCGTTTATTTTTCCATTTCCTTAAATATAAACAATGTTTCATAAGTATCAGTCTCATTTTTAGTTTTCTTTTACGCGTGCCGCATTCAAGGATGGAGCGATATTGAATATATATATATGACAAGAGTAATATCTATCTTATTAATCAAAAAAAAATTTTGTTCACTTTGCATCAAATCTAAGTGTTTCAAAAAAAAATTTGTCGAAATCATTTAGTTTTTTCTTATGAATACTTAATTGGTTAGTAATATTATACTCCGCAAACAATTATTTTCACGTACACATTTTTTTGCAAAACTAATTATTTATTATCTTTTCATCGATGTAGTTTTTTCTTCGAATTAATGTAAAGTGAATGGAATTACTTTACATTAATAAATGAAATATTACTCTTACAAAATATATATATATATTCAGTATCATCCATTTGAATCCAAGTTCATATGCAGACGCTAACCTATTTTGACACATCAACGACATAATTAAAGAGAAGTATTAGTAAATTATAATTCATTTCCTTCAAAGAAAGAACGAGCTCATATAATCCCTTTTCTTATCCTCTCATTCCCTCGAAAACCGATATGAACCCAGGTACGTTCAAATAGTATGAAATATTCAAATAAGATATGTTGGTTCTGTAGTAAAGAAGCCATAGTAAAAAATAGCTTGTTGGACAAATAAATATTTCTATCCGAGCTAGTACTATATATTATAATTTTTTGTGTTTGAAAGAGTATATCAAGATGCAGTGCAATACAGAGAACTCATTTTACGATTCTTACTTTTTAAGTAGAGAAAGGAATCACAAGATGAAGATTTCATGAGATCCTTCAAAAATGAGGACTTGTCAACTTTAGTGTCTGTATATTTAATAAATGAAAAAGCTTAATTAATAAAGGATTGTGTACTGTACTGAACTTTGGCATGCTCTTTCTGACAAGAAAAATAAAAATATGTAGTATGAATATGGATAAGAAAATTTGTTTTCCCCGATCGAAAATGTGTAAACTGAGAAAAAACGAAAAAGATTTTTCAGCTTTTCAAAAAGGAATTATGAGAAATCTTGAAATTTTTTAAGAAAGAATGAGTTATCGAAGGAAAATGTTATCCCATGTTATGGTTACCTATATAATATAATAATTTCTTATGAGCTGCTCCAAGAAAATAAAGATAAAGTAACATCCATAGTATTTATCTCAATTTCGACTATTCTAATAAAAATTGACTTTTTTCGATGAAAGGAGAATCATAGGTAATGATGTGATGTGACAGCTAAAATTGATTCGTTTGTGTTTAAAATTCTATTTTTGTTTCAATCCCTACCTTTATTTTTCAGTTGATATTCAATATATCTCATAATTTTCAATGGCACTCTCTAAAATTAGTTTCTTATGGCTTCATATAATTCCATTAGTTCCATCACTTATGGTTACTACCTTTATTCTTTATTATTTGCTCAAGACCCGAGTACTACGTACAGCTCTCAATAATCATGTTATTATTCTCATGCTTTTGTTTGGTCTTGTACTAGAACTTACTGATACCATATGGTTTATTTATTTTTTTCGTACTGGTTCTGCTTTATCATTAACACATGAATTCTGTCTCGCCTGGGCATACATTGATTCATCTCTATTCGCATCAGTTTCATTACAAATGTCTTGGGCAACTATTGAAAGACATATTATTATTTTTCATTCAAACTTATTTGCAACAAAAAGAAAACGTTTTTTCTTTCATTATCTTCCTTTGTTTATAGTGAGTGTGTGGCCTCTAATATTTTATTTCGTTACACTTTTAATTCTCCCTTGTAATCTACCATTTGATTATAATAGAAGACTATGTGGTCATTATGATTGTATTAATCTTATAGAATGGATTGCAATATTTGATAGTATTGCACATTATATGGTACCATCATTTATTACTTTAATTTTTAGTATAACTCTTTTTGTACGTGTATTGTATCATAAATGTCAAATTGGTCAAAGAATTGACTGGAGAAATTATAAAAAGATGGCACTTCAATTATTATCAATATCTCTTATATATATGGTGTTAGATGCTCCACCAACGATATTGAATGTTGCTTATCTATCTGGTCTATCATCGAATGTCGCCTCTGATTATTACAATAGCATGTTAGATCTTAGTTTATGGATTATACTATTCACTCCATTTGCATGTATTACATCGTTACCGGATTTGAAAGCAAAATGTAAAAATTTGATTACGTTTCGGCGACGAACACATGCTGTTCGACCAGCAGTAATTATAACAACGCGTCGAAACCCAAATCAAATAATTACAACAGCACGAATTATTCACTAGTTATTCTTAAATTATCAGAATTAACAAAAATGAATAATACAGACTATTACAAAACCATCACGTTCCACTGTATAACCCAAAGGGTAATTGATAGAGCTCATCTTTAGATTGTCGAGAGTGTGGAACATAAAGGTTATGTAACCCTCTGTAAATATTAAATGTTGTCATAAAATTATGTTATTATCTCTATTCATCCTACTTTCTTGTTATATCATTTCGATGCTTTGATCATTGTTGCGAACTTTCAAATTTATTAATTTATACAATGTATTTTGTCTATTTTATTGTCAATAAAATGAATCTCTCATATCCTGACACATCGATAGATATTATTTGATATAGTAACAGAAATAAATTAAAAAGTTGAAGTATTATTGATAATACGATACACAGAAAATGATTTTCATCGTTTATAGAAGTAATGATCTTTCAAACTTTATATGACAAGATATATAGGGATGTGTCGTACAGGGATGAAACCATCTATGGCTTATATGATTAAGAAACGGATAACTTGAAAGTTGACAAAGATTATTCAAAGATATGTGATTTATACTCTCAACATGTGGGTGTTGATAGAGAACAGATCGTAATCCACCAGTCCGCATAGATATCCACACCCATCCTCTAGATTTTCTTCCACCTGCCTTCTTTTTAAAATTCCAACAGTAAGCATAGTATACGCTCTATTAAGTGTTTAAACTGCTATCTAAATAACGTAATAAAAAATAAAATAAAATAAAAAACAACATTTACAGCAGTGAGTCACTCAGTTAGTTAGTCATACAAACTGCGCATGTATAAAACAATATAATTATGTTATGATCATACGGTTATTTTCGTTTTGTACTAAATAATCACTGTCTGCGCCTGGATATTTCTATATATGTATAGATGAAAGATCACAATAGTTCGAACGTAGAGTACGCTAGTTTGTCCAATGATCATATGATAAAACGAACTCAATAATATTATAATATTTATGATTATTATTCTTTTGCAAAAACTCTTAATAGTTGATCCAATAATTAAGAGTAATCTATTAGAGCTTACTTTGTGATAATCACTTTTATGATAAATATATCAAATTTCAACTCTATTTTCATAGACATACATATGAAATATCATTGATATATTTTTATACAATCAAAAATAATTATATTTTACCAAACAAACTCAGATATAGCGTCTCATTATCCGCTTGAACTATGGAGTTAATCACAGACCTGAATTTCTGTTAAGCAACTAAACCAAAATTATTAGAGATTTAAAAAAATATTATTTGTGTATGTTTACAATTAACTGATTCATCATCTAACGCACTTACAAGGAAAAGTCGTGGAGTATAAATGTGGATATTACATAGTGCTCGAGATTGCGAACAATAATGAATAAAATAATGATTCATACATCCATCCTCAAGATTTACAGTAGAAAGATGCGTCATAATGAAAATGATTTACTACTTTACCTAATACTTTATCACATGTAAAACAAATCGCACTTAATAATCACCATCAATGAAAAGAATGGTTGTTTGAATAGCTTCTTCGGTTGAATAAACATGACTCATCATATATAATCCTGATCATCAATATAAAAATTCAGTAGACATCGATTCACGAAAACGGTAAGGATTATAAAAATAGCTTAGGATAGAAACAAAATGACTGATGACGAAATAGTATTTTTTACAAAAAAAAAACTTTTGAGTTGAGTTCTCTTTTTTAACTCTTCTTTTATTTTATATAAACATTTGAGACAATCGTATTCTTTATGGTTCGATGCTTAGATTCGGTATAAATTATTTTTTTCCCTTTCTAAGGAGAAAACTGGTAAATCAATGGGTATATCCGACCATCTGGATTCGAGCACTGTATCCTTATTTTCAAGGTTTCTCCGACGAAGCTGGTGACTTCCTGATAGAAGGATGTGAAGTTTTTTCAATCTCTACACACTCACACCCCCAAACTGCTTAGAAAATATTTGATTCATTTTGCATGTGATCTAGTTCTTAATTATAAGATATAGAAATATCAGTTTTTTTTGTATAACAATTAGAATTTTTTAGATAAACAAAATATTATCATGATGAATTGTCAATTTCTTTTCATTTTATTTCTGCAATTTATCGTGACTAATGAACTCAATCTACCCCCAGATATAGGTGGAAGTTGGGAACCTGTAATACCAGAAAATGATGGAGGTGCTATTGGAAAGAGTTTAGGTATGCAGACAGTTCATACTGCTCTTCTACCTTCAGGCAAAATTTTACTCGTTAGTGGAAGCAGTTGGCGAAATCCAGCATCCATTCAATACTATCCACTATTTGCAAATCCAGAACCTGGCAGTGGATTGTGGATCAAAGATGATGATCCATTTCTGAAGAGTAAACTAAACGATTATTATGAGTTGGTGAATAATGCTGCTGTCTATGATGTAAAAGCAAATACATTTTATCGTATTCCTCATCCAGTACCCGTTGATGATCCTGACCCATCCAACGTATCCCGTTTTGTTCCTAATGATCTTTTTTGTACGGGTCATCAACATTTACCTAATGGAAATGTACTTTTTGTTGGTGGTACGCAATACTATTATCCATTCGATACAGGACATCGTTCTACTTTCATATTTGATTGGCAAAAAGAAGCTAATATATCATGGCCACAGGTTGATTGGCGACAAATTCCTGATGATGAAAATAATCCATGGTATTTTTCCGGCTTCATGAAACGAGGACGTTGGTATCCTAGTATTCTTCCACTGTTGGATGGTCGAATGATGGTGTTTGGTGGTTTTGTAGGCTTTGATGTAGGTTTTCCATCTATGTACGCATTCGAAATGAATAGTTTTGTAGAATTTTTCAATCCTATACGATTAAATTGGTCTGCAGTAGATGTTAAATCATTTCCGAACAGTCCTTTCACAACTCTAATTAATCCCAATTTTAAACCTACTCCAGAATGGGAATGCGATGCACGTTGTATAAATGATAACAAATATGATGCATTCAAACTCTATCCAGAAAATTATTTATATCCAGATGGACGGATCTTTTTAACACGTGAAGGTGATTGGACAAGTGCACGAACAACAGACGGTGCCTTTATTCGTCGAACTAAGAAAACTTATTGGATTCAACTGCAAAACAAGAAAAACATCACATTTTCCTACGGACCAGATCGTCTTGTGAATATTACTTCCTATGGTACAACTGTTCTTGATCCTAATAATGGTTGTATTAACTTGTTTGGTGGTCAACCGGCGTGCTCTGGTGTTCTTTTGTATAATGACTCTAGTTCTGACAATTATTTCGCTGGTTGCCGTGCAAGTCGAAAGCTTGAACAATTTAATCAATCGAAATATGACGCGAATGGTGGTCATTGGACGTTAGATTCGAACTTTCTTAGTAATAATATAGAAGATGATCGTTCAAATCATTATGCTCTTATTCTTCCAACCAGTGAACTTCTAATTATTGGTGGAAGCAACTACGATTTCTACGGTTCTGTTCGTTATCCACTACTACTTACTCCACAATTTTCAAAACAAACAAATGAATTTCTCGGCTATACCAAGCGAAGAATGAATGAACATGCTGAAACTCGTCTTTATCATACTGCAGCGCTACTAATGCCGGACGGACGCATCTGGTTATCAGGAGGAAACGCTGCTCGAGCATCAATTAAACAGCGAACTGCACCACTATCAGCTTTTAACGCGAGTAGCGGCAAGCAGCCGTTACCTGATCTAAGTCTCATTAATCTGGATTATCACTTTACTGTGGACGATCTTGTAATGGGACAAGCATCGAAAGGATCATCTCTGCCGCCGACAGAAGCATGGGTAGCGGAAATATTTAGTCCACCTTATTTATTTATCGATGGTGAACGTCGCGCTGAAATCGTCTCTCTTACGACAATACAGACAAATTATTCTTTTGAGAAGATCATCGCAAATCAAACATTCTATTTACTTCATAGTAATCAATCTTATACTGTACAATTATCTAATTTACCCGAACAATGTTGTAATCAAGGCAATGCTTCCCTTGTTATAATTAAATTACCATGGGCTACTCATGGTTGGGATGGAGGACAACGCCTATTCAAATTACAATTTAGTTCAGACGATACAAATGATCAAATTCAATTCTCTATGCCTGATGCACAACAAGCAAATTTACCTCCTGCTTACTATATGATGTTTTATGTAGATTGTATGGGAAAACCATCAAAAGCTCAAATGATTCGCTTTGATGATAATGTGCAAGAACTTTAAACAAACATTATATCAATCATATTTAGTAGTATACATCACATAAAATAAATAACTTTTTATAAACTATATTTTAATTAATGTTCTTAAAGAACAAAGATTTCCTTGTCTATCTTTTTTTT